CTCTTTAGTACATCTTTCTTGTTCCAGTTACTATCCCTAGTTAATATATATGTAGAGATTTCAGGTCTGAATATTTTTAGAAAATCTATGCCAAAATGTGATCATGCATTTCAATATGAATTAGTGTAAGGAAAGCTGCGCAATTTTTTGCCATTGCAAAAAATCTTAATATTGAATAATGATTATTGATTTGTCAAAATAAGCATGTATCTTTAGTATAAGTTGTCAGTGTTTCTCCAAACAACAATCTGAACTTGTTTATACAATCCTAACTCCCCTGAATTACTATATGTAGCTTTATACAATAAATTTGCACTCCAAGAAACATTTGTTTGGTAATTGATACAACATAATTGGTAAAGTAGAATAATTGCAGAAAATAATCCAGAATAGCTCTGCAAAAAATTTGAATGCTTTAAAATCTTAGTCTACGATTCACCATAGACCAAGCATTCATTCCTGCTCATTCTTAGAGGAAGTTGACTTTTTTGAGAACTTTGTTTGCCATCTCTGTTTATTCTTCTCAGATGTATTCCAATTTTGAGAAAACTTTGTAAGACCTTGCCTCAATGCTCCAAGATTAACCCCATTATTCACCAAAATGCTTGTTACTCCCATCAGAGAAACCTGTAATTCAATTTACTGAAATATTAGGGAATGTTTAATTCAGAATTTAAATTTAAATTTTCCTTCTAAAGGAAATTTTATGAAAATGTGTTAAGATGAAATGTTTTCAATAGGATACAAAAATAAAACCTTGCGAACAATCAGAAAATGAAGAAGAAAAAAGTATGTTTCCTCTGTATTCTATGGTTTTAACTCAAAATAGTTTTTGAATATTATAAAACAATGTTTTAAGATATCAAGGATTCTGAGCAACAAATTAGACTCTCTGACTTTGCCTTAGTGTTTTTAAAAAAATAAAAAAATTGAATCACGAACCAAACAAGTTAACGATTCTTAACAATCCTCTAAAGCCATCTCAGCTTCAAATACTGCTTCAAAAAATAATAGGAGATATATTTTAGAAAAAAGACAGAAAAAGTGAGACATTTTACCGCCTCGATGTTCCTATCCTCATCATCAAAAAAGAGCATTGAGTTAAAGGGCACTCCAGTCCTAGTATGAATTCTCTGGAAGTGATCTGTCTTATGTGTCCAGCTGGAGAAAATCTCCTGAATAAACAAAATAATGATTAGCCCAATTGAAGAGACCAACCTATAACTTACATTCACACTGAGTTTTATGGAGTACAAAATGAATAACATACAGCTACGGAGTCTATTCAATTGACAGATAGTGAAAAAAAACCCAAACCCTTCTTTAAAGGCTCATACATATAATGTTGAATAGGCCACCTAGAGGAAAAGAATATTCTTGGAGAGGATAAAGCACACCTTCCATGTTACGAAAATTGACAAGGAAGAAAGAGAAGAAATAGTTGAGCATGTATCATTAACAATTATTGAGTCGAATGCTCAATATTATAATTTTCCTTCAGGCTTTAGGCCATAAATACAAAGGCCTGTGCATCTGCTCATGCTCTGCATGTAATTATTAAAAAGTGGAGCGAAATGAGAAGACTGTTTGTATGAAATGGCTGAATTGGAAATAAAATAATGGAGACTCTACTGATATTGAGGTTAATCAAACCCCATTAGAAGAAGAAACCCCACAACAGCGATAACAACACCAAGAAAAAGAAGCAAGGAGTTTGTTACGAATCATGAAGAATTTTGAATTCGTCTTTTTGTTATTCTTGATGAAGAAAGTATTGGGAATCACATATGAACTGTCACAAGCATTACAAAGAAAAGATCAAGATCTCTTTAATGCCATGCAGTTTGTACAAATTTCGAAGTGTCGGTTGCATAAATTGAGAAATGAAGACACTTGCTTCAACATATTGTGTTGAAAGAAGCTTACGATCTGTGTAAAGATAATGACATACCAATCTCAAAGAACATGGAAGATAATTTTGGGAGGACAAAACGAGGAATTGCTCCAATTACGAATAAATATCATTTTAAGGTGGAATTGATGTACACAGATTTAGATAACATTCAAGAAGAACTCAATAATTGTTTTGATGAAGTAAATTTGGGGTTGCTTCAGTGTATGGCATCTCTTGATCCAAGTAACTCTTTTGTTACATTTAATAAAGACAGATTACTTGAGTTTGCAAAGTTCTATCCTGCCGGTTTTCCTCAACACGATATTTGGTTGCTCGATAATCAACTTGAAAACTATTATGAGGATGTTAGCACCAATGCCAATTTCACTCATGTTGATGGGATTGCCGATCTTGCAAAAAAAAATGGTTGAGTTTAAGAAGGATGTTGCTTACGACAAAGTTTTTTTGCTTATTAAATTAGCACTGGTTTTGCCTGTGGTACTGCAACAGTTGAAAGGGTGTTCTCTACAATGAATCTTATTAAGAATACTTTGCGTAATCAAATGGGAGACTAGTGGATGAGCAATTGCTTAGTAGTTTACATTGAAAAGGAAGTTTTTGCTACAATTCAAAATGAAGATATCATTTAACATTTTTAGAATATAATGTAGCGTTAAATCTTGTTAAATTGAAGATCTTCAGGTATACTATTCTAACTTGCTTTCATCTTTAAATAATCAATATTCATATTATTTAGATCTTTAGGTATACCATTCTAACTTGATTTTTGGGTCAATACGCAGAGGATGTGTGGATCTTTAATATAGACGGTTGAGTTAGAATGTTAACGTCTGGATCTGGATTTGAAGTGATTGTAATCCATCTCTTTGTAAACCTTTGTGTATCTTACTTTTGTTAGAATTGTAATTGAGCTTTAAATTTGTGTAAAATATTTTTTGTGGATTTGTGGTTGTTGTAAATTCTTTTGATTATATTGGATTTAAGTGAGTCGTTAGATTCCCGTGGTTTTTTTATCTCTTCATATTGAAAAGGTTTTTCCACGTAAAAATTTTCTTGTATTTCTTTGTGAATTATTTTCTTATGTTTTCATTACTTGATTAGCAAACAGTGGCGGAACGACAGGGTCCCCCTGGGCAAAAATCCTGGGTCCCCACTGCTCTTTGGTTACTCAATTAATGAAAAACTGAAAAGATAAAATAAGGAAACACAACAAACCATAATAGGAACCCGTAACCGGCTTTACAACATCGACTCCATGTCTGATTCTATAATCTAAAATATTCTCAGTCTAAAAAATAACGAAACCAAAGCACAATAGGAAACCGAATTAGGAAAGGAAGCAATGACTTTGACTTATATATTATATGCAGAACTCCTCTCAAATCACTTTCACCTTCTGCTTTTGTATTCGGGATGCAACACCAGACTTTTTTTACTCAAGAAACTCCAGTGTCAGAGAATGGTAGTTTAGTTTTTGCTGATCCACCACCATATAGGTTTGATTTAGCAACATCTTTATTATGCAACACTCTAATTCTCTACCTCCAACCCACATCTTCCCTCTAGATTCCAAATCTCCCTACCATCATCATCCGTCCATGGGCTGGGTTAAAGTAAGAGTTCTTCGTAAGGGTTCTTATGGTGTAGTCTATCTTGCACTTCCTACATCTATAATCTTTATCTTGCAGTTCCCAACATCCATAATCTCCCTTATTTTGCTGTGAAATCTGCAAGATTGCAACATTCTTCTTCACTCTTAAAAGAAAGGAGAATTCTTGAGAACCTTTCTTGTTTACCGGAGATTGTGCAATGTTTAGGAGCGAATATAGAATTTGAGCATGGGCTCGGATTCGTTTACAATCTGCATCTTGAATATGCAGTTGGAGGTACGTTGCAAGATTTGATAAACAGGAGTGGCGGTAAGTTCATTGTGATCTTAAACCAGCCAATATTCTCATTTTTCCTGGAAACGGTGGGATGAACAATGTTAAAATCGCAGATTTTGGATTAACAAAAGAGTCTGATGAAACACTAAATCCAAATTGTTATAAGTTTAGGTTTAGAGGTACACTTAGATACATGTTGCCAAAATCTGTTGCATTTGGTAAGATTGAGACATCATTAGACATATGGTCTCTTGGTTGTATTGTAGTGGAGATGTTTATTGGCAGGCCAGCTATGCTCGGGGCGAATGAGAAGACTTTCTTGTATGAATTGGCTGAATTGGAAAAGTCACCAATTATACCAGAAAATATGTCAGACAAGGGGAAGGTTTTCTTGATGAAATGTTTTGCTGCAAATCCTAAGAAGCGGTGGTTAGCAAAAATGTTACTGAAGCATCCTTTTATTGTTAATGAAATTATTACTTATAGTCGAGTCATCCAAGAAAGATCTTCTCTTTTGCTGCCATCCATGTGTTATCCTGAGTTAGATTTTGCTTCTTAAGTTAAAATGATTTTATTGTAAATATTAGACATTCAAAGCCATCAGCCAATTTTAGGGATGGGCATAGGGGCCTGGCCCAAAGCTCGAACGGGGAATTCAAAGAATCCCTGAATTAGTCCTGATCCCCAAACGGAGAATTCAGGGAATCTCAGAAATCCTTATTTGGGGGTTTTGCATCCTTGAACCTGCCTTATCATTTCTCTCCAAATTATAATATATATCATCCAAAAAGAAATTAAATTTATAATGTACATATTAAACATAATACAAATACATTATATATATATATATATATACACACACGGCCCATCTCTAAATTCAAAGGCTAATTTTCAACTTGGGCCCAACCCAAACCCCAAACAATTTGGGTCAGGCCGGGTCCCCAACATGGCGGGGATTATATCCATCCCTATCAGCCATGTATCAATCTCTTTAGTACATCTTTCTTGTTCCAGTTACTATCCCTAGTTAATATATATGTAGAGATTTCAGGTCTGAATATTTTTAGAAAATCTATGCCAAAATGTGATCATGCATTTCAATATGAATTAGTGTAAGGAAAGCTGCGCAATTTTTTGCCATTGCAAAAAATCTTAATATTGAATAATGATTATTGATTTGTCAAAATAAGCATGTATCTTTAGTATAAGTTGTCAGTGTTTCTCCAAACAACAATCTGAACTTGTTTATACAATCCTAACTCCCCTGAATTACTATATGTAGCTTTATACAATAAATTTGCACTCCAAGAAACATTTGTTTGGTAATTGATACAACATAATTGGTAAAGTAGAATAATTGCAGAAAATAATCCAGAATAGCTCTGCAAAAAATTTGAATGCTTTAAAATCTTAGTCTACGATTCACCATAGACCAAGCATTCATTCCTGCTCATTCTTAGAGGAAGTTGACTTTTTTGAGAACTTTGTTTGCCATCTCTGTTTATTCTTCTCAGATGTATTCCAATTTTGAGAAAACTTTGTAAGACCTTGCCTCAATGCTCCAAGATTAACCCCATTATTCACCAAAATGCTTGTTACTCCCATCAGAGAAACCTGTAATTCAATTTACTGAAATATTAGGGAATGTTTAATTCAGAATTTAAATTTAAATTTTCCTTCTAAAGGAAATTTTATGAAAATGTGTTAAGATGAAATGTTTTCAATAGGATACAAAAATAAAACCTTGCGAACAATCAGAAAATGAAGAAGAAAAAAGTATGTTTCCTCTGTATTCTATGGTTTTAACTCAAAATAGTTTTTGAATATTATAAAACAATGTTTTAAGATATCAAGGATTCTGAGCAACAAATTAGACTCTCTGACTTTGCCTTAGTGTTTTTAAAAAAATAAAAAAATTGAATCACGAACCAAACAAGTTAACGATTCTTAACAATCCTCTAAAGCCATCTCAGCTTCAAATACTGCTTCAAAAAATAATAGGAGATATATTTTAGAAAAAAGACAGAAAAAGTGAGACATTTTACCGCCTCGATGTTCCTATCCTCATCATCAAAAAAGAGCATTGAGTTAAAGGGCACTCCAGTCCTAGTATGAATTCTCTGGAAGTGATCTGTCTTATGTGTCCAGCTGGAGAAAATCTCCTGAATAAACAAAATAATGATTAGCCCAATTGAAGAGACCAACCTATAACTTACATTCACACTGAGTTTTATGGAGTACAAAATGAATAACATACAGCTACGGAGTCTATTCAATTGACAGATAGTGAAAAAAAACCCAAACCCTTCTTTAAAGGCTCATACATATAATGTTGAATAGGCCACCTAGAGGAAAAGAATATTCTTGGAGAGGATAAAGCACACCTTCCATGTTACGAAAATTGACAAGGAAGAAAGAGAAGAAATGGTTGAGCATGTATCATTAACAATTATTGAGTCGAATGCTCAATGTTATAATTTTCCTTCAGGCTTTAGGCCATAAATACAAAGGCTTGTGCATCTGCTCATGCTCTGCATGTAATTATTAAAAAGGTAATATTTATAAAGGCAGACTCTTGTTACTCAATACATCGAAAGGGGAACTTATAAATTGTCAACGGACAGCTTTGCTGTCCATATTTATTTCTGTTTATTTCCTTGATTTACTCTTATGAATAATTAGCTTAATTATTGACAGATTATATAGAGATAAGATTAGCAGATACGTAGGTATTTCCATGTATAGAATTCTTTTTGTACAGATTATATAATAGAGAGAAATCACAAGGCCAGTCATTCGGCCATTTATATAGCATTTTAGACTTCTTTTGACATGGTATCAGAGCAAGGCTGAATTTTTTTCTGGGCATTTTTCTTGGCATTTTCTGAGCATTTTCTGCTGGAGTGGTGTCTTCAGCAACCTCTGTTTAAGGTCCTTCTCTCGGTTCCTTTATTTTTTTTGGTTATTTTTTGTTTTGTCTCGGGTTCCATTTATTTCCAATGGATTCTGCACCAGTGTGTGTCAAGTTTACAGGCAAAAATTACTCTACCTGGGCTTTTCAGTTTGAACTTTTTCTTAAGGAAAAAGAACTTTGGGGCCATATTGATGGCACGGATGTTGCACCAACATCCGACAGTGACAAATCCAAGGATGTTGTGTCTTCTCCTTCTTGGGCTGTGCTTGATGCTCGAATCATGTCTTGGCTTCTTGGTTCGGTGGAGCCACATCTTATCACCAACTTGCGGTCTTATCGCTCCGCTCAATCCATGTGGACTTATTTGAAGAAGGTTTATCATCAAGATAATGATGCTCGTCGTTTTCAGTTGGAACATGCGATTGCCATATTTCAACATGGTAGTCTTTCCATCCAAGACTACTACTTGGCATTTTTTACTCTTTGGCATGAATATACTGCTTTGGTTACAGTAGATGCTCCTGTTGCTGCTCTTTCGACTATTCAGAATCTTCACAAGACTAGCCAGCGTGATCAGTTTCTTATGAAACTACGCCCGGAATATGAATCAGTTCACTCCTCTCTACTGAACAGATCTCCTGTTCCCTCTCTTGATATTTGTTTTGGTGAATTACTTCGCGAAAAACGTCTTAGTACTCATGCTATTCTAGAGCAATCTCATGGCAATTCCAAGACAACAACTATGGCTTATACTGCTCAAGGACGAGGATCACCTGTGACTTCTAAAAATCTGCAATGTTTCTGCTGCAAAGAATATGGGCATATTGCTACCAGTTGTCCTAAAAAATATTGTTCTTATTGCAAGAAAAATGGTCATATTATCAAAGAATGTCGTATCCGCCGCCAGAATCGTCAGGCCCAAGCATTTCAGACTTCTGTTACTATTCCTCCAGCAGCGACTTCTGTAGCACATGACTCTTCCTCAGGTGCTTCCTCTGATCTTGCACCTCATGCAGTAACTTACTGCACCCTTGAAATGGTGCAACAAATGCTAATTTCAGCGTTATCTGCGATGGGGTTTCAAGGTAAACATTCTACTACACTCTGGTATGTAGACTCGGGTTCTTCTAATCACATGACGAATACTCCCACAAATCTGTCTCATGTTCGGCCTTATGCTAGTCAATCTGCCATTCAGACTGCCAATGGCAGTTCTTTGCCAATCACTGCTGTCGGAAATGCTTCTTCTACATTTACTGATGTGTTTCTTGCTCCTCAGCTTTCCACGAATCTGATTTCTGTTGGTCAATTAGTTGACAACAATTGTGCTGTTAATTTTTCTGGTGATGGTTGTGTTGTGCAGGACCAGGTAACGGGGAAGCCGATCACGAAGGGACCTAAAGTGGGGCGCTTGTTTCCACTATTTTTACCTGTTCCAACATTTTCTCCAGTTTCTTCTATTAAGTCTTTTGCTTGTAATAATGTTCCTAATCTGAGTATGGTGTGGCATCGTCGTTTAGGCCATCCCAATACTCAAATCTTATCTCATATATTGAACTCTGGCTTTCTTGGTAATAAAGAACGTTCTTCTTTATCTCTTGAATGTGATTCTTGTAAACTTGGTAAAAGCAAAACTCTTCCATTTCCTTTGCATGCTAGTAGAGCTTCTCACTGTTTTGATCTTATCCATAGTGATGTTTGGGGGCCTTCCCCCGTTAGTTCACATGAAAAATTTAAATACTATGTGACTTTCATTGATGATCATAGCAGATTTACTTGGGTTTATTTTCTTCGCTCTAAATCTGAGGTTTTTCGTACTTTCACTGAGTTTTTAGCGTATGTTGAAAATTAATTTTCTGCGAATATTAAAACGATACGCACAGATTCTGGTGGTGAATATTTGTCTATTGAGTTTCAGACATTCTTGGCTTCTAAAGGTATTATCCATCAACGTTCATGTTCTGCTACTCCCCAACAAAATAGAGTAGCCAAACGCAAAAATCGTCATCTTCTTGATATGGTACGTACTCTCTTGTTAGAATCTTCTGTTCCTGGGTTGAGGCTCTAAAGACTGCTACCCATTTGATTAATCATTTACCTTCCCAAGTTTTACACATGGAGTCTCCCTATTTCCGCTTGTTTGCTAAGCAACCTAGTTATGATAATCTTCGTGTTTTTGGTTGTGTATGTTTTGTTCATTTACCTCCTCATGAGCGACATAAATTATCTGCTCAATCTGTTAAAAGTGTATTCTTAGGATATAATGTGTGTCAAAAGGGATTTGTTTGCTATGATCCTACATTACATCGTACACGCATTTCTAGGAATGTTATTTTCTTTGAAAATCAACATTTCTTTCCTGTGTCATCTGTGCCCTCTTCTTCTACTGTGGTCCTCCCCTCCTTTGAGCAACAGTTCTCAGATCTTCATCAAGTCAGTTCTCGTTTTAAACCAGGTATGGTGTACACGAGACGATCCCACCCACGGTCTCTTCCGGTGGCTCACCCGCTATCTGATCCTAACATACACCAGACTCAGTCAGTTAAAGCACCTCCAAAGCCTTTGGTACGTCGCTCTTCTCGAGTGTCTGTACCCCCGGATAGGTATGGGTTTTCTTCTGGCAATTCTATTTCAGCTCTTACTGTTGCATTGTCCAATTTTGCTATTCCCACATGCTACTCACATGCTGTCAAGCATGACTATTGGCGACAAGCTATGCAGGAAGAAATTGCTGCTCTAGAGACCAATCACACCTGGGACATTGAGCCTTGTCCTTCTACTATAGTTCCTCTGGGTTGCAAATGGGTTTACTCAGTCAAGGTTCGCTCTGATGGAAGTTTGGATCGTTATAAAGCTCGAATTGTTGTTCTTGGGAACAATCAGGAATATGGTGTCAATTATGAGGAGACCTTTGCTCCTGTGGCTAAGATGACCACTGTTCGTACGATCCTAGCTCTTGCTGCTTCCAATGATTGGCCACTACATCAGATGGATGTTAAGAATGCTTTCCTTCACGGGGATCTTAAAGAGTGTATTTATATGAAGCCACCCCCAGGACTATTTCCTTCTCCGACCTCCAATGTGTGTAAACTTCGTCGCTCTCTTTATGGTCTCAAACAAGCTCCGCAGGCCTAGTTTGATAAATTTCAAACCACTTTATTACAATTTTCCTTCAAGCAGAGCAAGTATGACACTTCGTTGTTTCTTCGGAAATCAGACATGGGTATTGTTGTCCTTTTGGTTTATGTTGATGATATTGTGATCACTTGTTCTGATTCTGCTTTACTTGTCCAACTCAAGACCCATCTCTCAAAATCCTTTCATATGAAAGATCTTGGATCTCTCTCGTATTTTCTTGGTCTTGAGGTGCATCGTAGTCCCTTTGGGATTTCACTCAATCAACATAAGTATGCTAGTGATTTGGTGGCTACAGCTGGACTACAGGAAGCTACCTCTGTCGATACTCCCATGGAATTAAATGTCAAGCTTTGCAAAGAGGAGGGCGACTTACTTGTTGATCCCAGTGTATATCGGAAATTGGTGGGTAGCCTAGTCTATCTCACCATCACTAGACCAGATATTTCTTTTGCTGTACAGCAAGTCAGCCAGTTTCTTCAAACTCCTCGTCATCTTCATTTGGCTGTTGTCCGTAGGATCATACGCTATGTTCAGGGCACTTCTGCCCGTGACTTATTCTTTCCTACAGGCAATTCTCCTCGTCTTGTTGCTTATAGCGATGCTGATTGGGCTGGTTGTGCTGATACACGTCGTTCCATCACTGGTTGGTGCGTGTTCTTAGGTGATGCATTGATTTCCTGGAAGAGTAAGAAGCAAGATAGAGTTTCTAAGTCATCTACAGAATCTAAGTACCGAGCGATGTCTCTTGCTTGTTCCGAAATTATTTGGCTTCGAGGTTTGCTTGGTGAGTTAGACTTCTCTGAGACCGATCCTACACCTTTACATGCCGATAATACAAGTGCTATTCAGATCACGGCCAATCCTGTCTATCATGAGCGCACAAAGCATATTGAAGTCGACTGTCATTCTATTCGTGAAGCCTTTGAAGCTCGTGTTATCACTCTTCCACACATTTCCACTGAACTACAAATTACTGATATCTTCACCAAGGCTCTTACTCGTCATCGACATTGCTTCCTAAGTAGCAAATTGATGCTTGTTGATCAACCTGCATCAATTTGAGGGGGGTTGTCAACGGACAGCTTTGCTGTCCATATTTATTTCTGTTTATTTCCTTGATTTACTTTTCTGAATAATTAGCTTAATTATTGACAGATTGTATAGAGATAAGATTAGCAGATACGTAGGTATTTCCATGTATAGAATTCTTTTGTACATATTATATAATAGAGAGAAATCACAAGGCCAGTCATTCGGCCATTTATATAGCATTTTAGACTTATTTTGACATAAATGAGGTAATTTCTTAACATAACCTTTACACGAAAACAGTAAAGGAAAGAAAAATAGAGAGACAAAGATTCTCAAAGGCTAACCTTGGTTACAAAAATAGACTTCATGCTCAATTTGTCAAGAAATGTGTTGGCTATATTAGCAGTCGGTGATCTAGAAGCAACAGCTATATCAATCCCTTTGTCCTTGAGGGCATATAAGACGCCTTTAGCATGGGGATACAAAGATGGCATTTCACGTTTTGAGCGGCATTCACTGAAATACAACCATTAGTAAATTGACATGACATATTAGAATAGATAAGCAACATCAGATTGCACATTAATCAATGTTTTCAAACATCTCAAAATGCTGATTATTGATTATAATACATATTTTCGTCAGCTTAACGAAATCTCCCACCTACCAAAAACAAAATTCCATGACATTTGCATGGAATAAACAATATGGAATTAGAAAGCCGGGAAGCTGGGAAGCCAGTAGATAGTATTAAGTAGTCAAAAAATCAACACAACAAAAAGCTTAACACAACGATGCCTGATTCCATGGGGAAACCAAAGTTCTTAACAGTAAACAGCCGAAAACATCAATTATTAGATGAAGGGCTGCAGTATAGATGTTGCTGCTCATTATTTTTTCTGTACTTTTAGAGGATAGTTGGTCCCCTTTACACATGTAACTACTTCACTTTAAATACTGAGTGTCTTATCAAAAATAAATAAATAAACAAAGGCCTAACACATCATATGCTTCACTAAATCAAGAAATATTGCAACCTTATTACTCATCACGATAAAGAATCAAGTCCATTCAATCCTCAGCAAGGTTTGCCATAAGTAATTTATGACCATGTAACCTCTTTACCCTTTATTATTATTTTTTTTTTTTTTTTTTTTACAGGAAAAGAAATTTATGTGAAAAAAAATGGACAAATATATGCTTTTATCATTTAGTAAGTAATAGTTGAGGGCAATTACAATTAAATTAGACATGAATCTAAATCGAAGGTTCCATCAAATGCTATATAACTTTGTTTCATTGCCAACAAAAGTCACAATTTAGCAATTTAAACGACCCCTTTTCAAATATCAATGGGGCAACTACTGAATTAAAAAGAATAAAATAAAGGGTTACAAATGAACTGAAGAATATTTAAAAAAAAAAAGACAGGGGCCTATGGAAACTGAAACCAATCTCAATAAAAAGAAGCTGAAATTGAGTGATAGAAATGAATAAAGGAAAAAAAAATATTACCAGTAGAAAGGCCACAGAGTGTAATCAAGATCGAAGACAACCAAACGAGGGAGAACTTGAAACATTCCAATAATTCGCAAGGCTTCTTCTTTCACTTTCTCTTCTCCCATGTCTGCGTTTCTTGAAATGGATTTCGTTTGGTTGGGGTTTTTATTTGAATTTAGAGGGATAACGAGTAGAATTATTATTATTTATTATTATTATTTTTATTTGGCTTCTTTCTTCACTATTTATTGGAAAGAAGCAAAGCTGGAATGTGGGTGAGGCGTATAATGTTATGTGTATGCTTGGGTGATACAGTATCTAGGGTGGAGATTGAGTCAAGAGGTTAAATTTTATTTTCTTCTAGACAAGGACATTTTTTTTTTCAAACACCAGCAAAAACGTCCTCAAACCTAGGGGTGGACAGGTCCAGGTACCCGCCCAAAATTGAAGGAACCGGAGCCAGCTTCGGTTCCAACCGGTTCTTTTGCACACCCTTACTCAAACCTATCTATGTGTGTGGCCTGTGTGGGAACAAACAATTAAAGGGTATATCTGTTGTTTAACCCTTTTTAATAGTTTGTTTCCATCCAACGTATGATAGGAGAATATCATACACTACCCTTAAGATGTCCAAGTTTATTACTTGGATGACAACTTTTGCAAACTTAAATGGACCCTTAAAGTTTGAACAATATATTATTAATACTAGTCTTCCTAATAAAGGACCCCGGAAGTTCAAAAACTTTATCGTAGATATCACTTTGGCCTACCTTTGTTGTATTGTCATTAGGTTTGTAAAACATATTCTTATAAGACTAAAGTTACCATTTTACCTCAACCTTGTTTTATAAGACCAAAGTTATCTTTTTACCTATCAAACACAAATGGCAACATAATAGAGTTAGGGCTAGGGGAGTATTCTTGACATAGTTTTCAAACTACGAGGATCTATTTGATAAAATTGTGAAATTTGTGGTACAAATGTTAATTTGAATACCTTACAAGTAGTCTAAGATATTCTCTCAAGGTATGTTTGGTTTGAGGTTACCCGCCATTACTGAGGTAATGTCATTTTATATTACTTCATTACCATGTTTGGTTGTTAAGTAATATAAGATTCTAGTAATCTTACAAAACCAATAATAATTACTATTAGTTATATATGTAGTAATCTAAATACCACAATTTTCTTAGGTATTTTTGAGATTATTTGGAAATCTTATTTTTGTTATAATTTTAACCCTAACTATTATATTTTTTGGACAATAATGCCCTTGTTTTGAAATTCATTTACATGAATCTTACCATTACAATTTTACCTCTAAGTAATTAACTTTTTGGATAGTAATGCCTTTGATTTTATAACAATTTACAAGTCACCCAAGAGGGTTGTTGGCCACCACCGCCGGCCACCTATCCACGTGGTCGGAGCGGCACATGATCTGTCGGATCTGACCGACCGTGCGTCGATCAAGCCACTACCAATCGCGACCGATGATAGTGGCTGAGGGCTGGTAGGGGTGTTCAAAAACGGTTAACCGCTTTTCTAAACCGAACCGGATTTTCGGTTCGGGAAAATTTTCGAACCAAAACCGAACCGGTTTTAGGGAAAATCGAAAAACCGGTTAACCGTTTTAAAAAAAGCGGTTAAGCGGTTTTCCCTTTTTTTTTTTTTTTTATTTTGTCCTAAATTAAATTGTAAATATAGACAATACATTGGGAACTAAGAAAAAAAATTTGGGTTGGGATTTTAGATTGAGTGAATTAGGGATTTATTTTAGTTTAGGTTATTATTTATTTATTTTATATATATATATATGAAAAACCGGTTTAGAAAACCGGTTTTCGGTTAACCGTTTCTAATTTCTCCCGAACTGATAACCGAACCGAAAATTCAGTTTTTTGAATTTTTTGAACCGTAACTGAACCGTTTTTTCGATTAACCAGTTTTTCGGTTTGGTTAGCGGTTCGGTTCGGTTTTTGTATTTTTTTGAACACCCCTAAGGGCAGGCAATGACCCTAGTTAGTAAATACGAGTACGGCAAAAAAAGGGTACGGGTATAATACGGCAAACAGTGAAAAATACATTTATAAAAATTCGGCCATAAAATTCGGATACTGGAAAAATACGGTACAGGTATATACGGGTTTAATACAGTATATTGTCAATAATACGTTTTGAAAAATACGGCAATATCAATCTTAGTTTTAATACTTTTATGGATTACTTGGCTAAAATCAATATAGTATTTCAAATGCAAAGTATTCAGTTAACCAATAACACAAATATACAATATATAACTGATATTCAAATTATAGTCTCCAGACTCAAACACAATATTTAGCCATGATTCTTTACTAATTTAAAACTTGATAAATTTCATATTAAATACAACCAATTTTAACTTCCCATTAATCCATTAAATTATTTAAATCAAAAACTAAAATTTTATCTCACAAATCTATATAAAAGATTAGTGTTACAATAGTCTAACTATTATTTTATACCTATAATATATGACAGTTTTTTTTTTTTCACAATAAATTATTATTTTAATATCATTAATCCAATCTAATTTATTAGATAGCACGGAAATAATTTAAAAATATGAAATGATTTTGTATGTGTTTTGACTTTTGAGTTCAAAATGTAAAGGTGTCTGGTGTGGGGGAATGGGTGGGAAAATGGATGTCTTTGAGAGGGTTATTTTTTTATTCCCCCCCTTTTCCAATCTCTTCCTTTATGCCTTACCCACTGATTTCTTCTTCCCCCACTAAAAAGACGTTGTTTCAATTAGTTTTTTTTTCTTTTTCTTTTTTACAAAAATTCGCGAATTATATGGATACTCCAATAATTGGACAGCCCTTTGTAAAATATGTAAATTCACGTATAAAACGTGTATTTACTAACTAGGGCAGTGACTTAGGTGGGTGGGGGTGATTTTGTTAAAATTTAAACTATTATGTGACTGGGGTGTTTCAGAAAATCTCAAATAAATATAATATTGTATTAATATTAAAAGAGAATGACAATTTAGTAATCTATACATACCCACCAATTTATTCCAACCTAATAAACATATTTTCCTAAATTCCCAGTAATTTTCAAAATAATCTATCTTTCTATTAATATAATATTTCTAGTTATACAATATTCTCCGAACCAAACACCCCCTCAAAGTATTTAGGTTTGGTGTAACTAAATTTTAGTCTTGTAAATTTTTTTAGTAACATTTTGGTCCCTATAACTAACATTTTAAGTTTTAGCCCCTACAATTAGCCACCTTAAAGGCTAAAATGTTACTGACAAAAATCAAATTATCACTAAATTCTAGACCTGGTAAACGGGCGAGTCGAGCAGGTAAGGGCTGGGTAGCCACGAGTGCGGGTAGAACGAGTACAGGTGAACCCGCAAGGTATTTCGGATATTTAATAAAACTATGAAGGGTATTTTTGACTTCTCAATATACTTTTCACAAAACCCTAAAAATATTTTTCTTCTTCTTTTTCCTCCTCCCATCTTTCTCTCCGTTTCATTTTTCTTCTTCTTCTTTCTCCTCTCTTTCTTCTCCTTCCTCTCTCATTTTCCTTCTCCTTCCTCTCTCTTCTCTTTCTTTTTCTCTTTCTCTTCCTTTTTTGTCCTCCCTATTCACTCACTGGAATCCAACCAAGCAGTGCCCAAATCAAGCGGCCACGATCTGGCCACCGCTGCTCCAGATTGGGCGGGCATTTAACACCAACCACCATTTTTTTTTTTTTCAGTTTTTGGATTAAATATATTTGATTAATTAGGAGCTTGGGTTATTAACTTTTTAAAGTTTGAATGTTGATAATTTTCTATTGGATTGAGTTTTTTTGGAAAAAAAATAAAAAATTGTTATGGATAAACAAAAAATTGTAAATTAAGCTATTGCGGCATTGTTGTATTTTTTTAAAGTACCAGCGGGTATCACCCAGCCCATCCGTTATTTTTACGTGCGGATTGGGTATGGGTAAACCTGGTGCGGGTAATTATTATGATTGTCCATGCCCGCCAATTGAACCCGGGTACCCACAGACTGGTACGGGTCTTACCTAACCAGCTCTACTAAATTCTACGAGTTCAGAGTATTACTTAGGCAGAATAGCTTACACCTACCCCAGGCTTGGTGAAACGAAATTGGTATCCAAAAGATTTGAAAATGACAAACAGGTACTTTCCGTCATGTGTTGTTAGTGATTTCTGTTTGCTTATGGTGAAAAGACTAGAATGCCCTTTCAGAAATATTAGTCTATTTTTTTAATTACTTTTAGACCCCTTAAGTTTATTAATTTCATCAAATATCTCCAGAAAAAAGTTTAAAAATTAACAAAAACACCCCCACCTACCCATACTTGCCAGATTCCGACAGCCACCGCCGGTAGTAGCCAAAATCTGTCACAATGGTCTACACCACTATCAGAAATGGCCATTAAATCACCGATCTGGCCTTTTTCGGTCAGATCCACAGTGGATTTGGTCGGAAAAGGCCAGATCTATCCGGAAAGCGACGGCCATTTCTTTGGCCGTCGACGGCCAGATCTGGCCTTTTCTGGCAAGATCTGTGGTGGATCTGGTCGAAAAAGGTCATATCGACGCGTTACAACATAGATCCGACTGGTCTATGTCGTAATAAAATTTTTCGACCAGATTCTAGCGGTGGTGGCCGGAATCTAACACTGCGGGTGGTGGGGGTGTTTTTGTCATTTTACAAAATTTTTATATATTGGGATGTTTAGTTAAATTAGCAAACCTAGGGTTCTTTTTTATAAATTTATAAAAAACTAAAATATCAAACTTTCAAGGGCATTCTAGTCTTTTTACCATTAGCAAATGGAAATCACTAATAGCACATGACGAAAGGTACATGTTTGTCATTTTTAAACCTTTTGGGTACCAATCTACGTTTCGCCAAACCTTGGGTAGGTGTAAGTCGTTTCCCCTATTACTTAAGCCAAACCTCACTTATGTAACCTTAAGGACAAAATTGTTAACATCCTTATGCTTAAGAATGCTTTTCAATAATTTGTCATTGGTTGAGGGAGATGAAAATATAGGGATGAAAAATAATTTGTTCTTTAACACAAAAAAAAAAAATATATTTTAATATAAAAATTCCTCTTTAAAATTTTTGTCCTAGACCTTAAAATCCCTTGAAACATCATTAGAAGAAGTGATTTTTACCCTCATCTAATTTATCAGTATCCCTCATTGCTAAATACACCTCTTCTATAATTAAAAAGAAAAAAATTGTTTAAACCCATTTAATACCAAAAATAACCCTCTAAATTTAATTAGGTTTATTTTCCCCAATTTCAAACTTAATTAGATTTTTTATTTTACACCATTTTCCCTAATTTTTTAATTTAAAAAAATGGAACTTACTTTTTCTTTTTCAGATTCAGATACATCTAGTTGTGTGATTACTTTTTCATAATTTTAGTATTATATTTTCATCAAAACAAACAAATATTTTAAATAAAATAAAATGTTTCATTGATTATGAAAATTTAGGGTTAGGGTATATGTAAGATTAATGATTAAAAATATAACTATAAATATAAAATAGAGTATAAATGTATTTAAAAATTATAATATAATTTCTAGTAATTTTAATTAAGTTTAAACTTATCAAAACAAAAAATATTTTTAAAAGTAAAGGATACTGATAAAATTGAGTGGGACGCTAAAAATCACTTCCCTTTCACTAGTTTTGAATCGCTTTACATGCTTTGGACTACATTTTAAAATTCCCCTTAGCTACAATTGATCTTGTTCTGCATGTCAAATGATGTATTATCATTTTACATCAGTTAAAATGTAAAACTTTCTAGACAAATAGTTCATTAATTCATGATTTAGATAAAAACGAAAAAAATAAAATAAATAGAAATACCATTTTAAACTGATGGGTTCTAGGTCATAGTTTTTATTTTTATTTTTTTTTATATGACCGAAGGTGTCCATACCAGTTTGCACGTATCTCAATTAATCCTTCAAAACCTTTAAATTACTAGTTAGGTAAGAGTTTTAATAACCACCTCTATTAGGGGCTAAGGTAAATCAAACTTAAGATTTATTGAATAATATACCCAAGAGTCCTAGTTGACCACTCGACCATCCAATAATAGATTAGGTCATAATTTCATCTTCAATTCATTGAAAAATATATTTCCAATATTATTCTATTAATTAGCATAATTGAAAGAAGAAAAAAAAAAAAAAAGCATGAAGTTTGTGCACCTAAATAATTTATATTTGACCCATTTTGTTATCAAATCCTAGTATTTAAATGAAAGAAATTGCATGACAAATGAGTGGTTAAAATGTGACCCCATATATTCCTACAAAACAACATAAACAAAAATGAAACACTGTTTCTCTTTTCGCTGAATCTCACTATATAAAATATTAAATAGGTGATACAGCGTAATAGAAATAAGTACTAGATGAGTCGTATGAATTTTATTAATATACCATTTGTTTTGTTTGTACTAAACTAATCATTAAACAAAATATAAGCACATCTTAATTCTACAGTACAAACAATATTAAAATAAGAAAGGGAAAATTAACTAAAACAAATCTTCCTAATTTAACTAAATTCGTAAAACAACTAACTTCCAAATATAAAAATCCTAATTAAACTTAGAAAATCAACAAATTCTAAATCAGGAAAATCTGTCATGAGATTTCTTTTGGTATTATACAACAAGTCACAATAAAAGAGCCCATTTTTTTCTTCTCTTTTTTTGTTGGGATGGGGAAAGCATTATTATCTGTCTAACACAATTCACAAATGTATTTCCTGTACAATGCCAAACTAAAAACTATTTACCACGTCCTAAAGAAAGCACTGCTTTTGGTAGGCCGTTTTTCATATGTTCTTCTCTATCATCAGAAGCCTCAAGCCTCAGCTTCTTTGCAACTTGCTGTTCATCTCTTTCAGACACAGGATCTTCATCATTAATCAGCGTTTTATCTTCTTTAATGTGAACGATTTCAGTCAAGTCTGCTTCTTGATAGGTGAGAGTGCAAATGCCACTATTGAAGGAGGATCCGGTATCTTTGTTCTTGCAGGCATTTTGCGAGCAATTTACCTCCCAATAATCTTCAACAACTAGAGCAGCAAGTCCAATTTCCTCCTGAGAATCTTCAACAAGAAGTTCCTCCTGAGAATCTTCGATGACAAGATTGACAAGTCCATTATTTTCTTCTTCAGAATCTTCCACAATAGAAGTAGCAAATTTTCCACTGCAGGTTGGAGAACCTTCAGGTTTAACACTAGTCATCTCTTGGTGGTTAGGCACTTTGTATTCCTCAACTAGTTGATTTTCATCTATGTTTTCCTTTGATATATTCTGGTATTCACTGATAGACTCATCTTGCTCCTCAAAGTGCAATAAACACTGCCAGTCACAAGATGTCTTCTGTGACACTCTTTCTCTACAGATGTAAGAGGTTGAAGATTCTGCTGCCAATCCAGTAACTTTCTGACAATGTTCAACATCAGATGATGATTTAGCCCTTTCATCACTGGTTTCTTCACCTTCCTGATTTTGAGCAAAATATAAAGCAACTTCTTCATTTGGTCAAATAATTCAGAAAGCTAGGAAATCACCCAATTAAGCAACTTTTTCAATTGCTGTTCTTCAATCCTAGTACAGCACAGTTTATTAAATTATTTATCCTTTTGCTCTTGGATTTGTGATGGCAAACCAGTTTCTGAAAGTGGTTTTGAATTGGCATAAATCACTCCCAGATTCATTTCAAAATGGCTAAAAATAATCAACAGAGAAACTAAGGGTAAACAATTGAGAAGAAATTACATTAACTTAGTAATACAAAATAGAAATCAATAGACGTTAAGATTGCATATGGTGCAAGGAATACATAGAAATTTCTGTTGTTTCAATTAAAAAAAAAAAAAAAAAAAAAAAAATACTCATAACCTAAACATATTCAATATTTAGTAAAAACTTTCCAAACAAAATTTGAATTTAATAGTTAAATTTATATAAATCAATCCTAACAATTCTCTATACAAAAGAATTTAATATTTAAATAATCTTAAGCTATTCAAATATGCAAATTTTATAAAAATTTTAGTTCAGATTTGCTAGAGACTTGAGAGAATAAATTACATTTATGTAAACCAAAACTACCAACATCCTCTTTTAGCTCGATGTCTTTTGTTTTGGTCTACTAGTATCCTCATTTCAGTAAGTTCATAAAAACTCGTTTTTTATTATTAAGTTTTTGTTTTCATTGAGGCATAATATGCATGAAAAACTTATGATATATGAGTCCAGCTAATCAAGAGTCTGAAACAAGCACACTTGATTTTCTGATAATTTTAATAGATTTCACCTTATTTTTATTACCTTGTTTCTACAATGAGAGAAAGAGATGATTACCTCTATTGGCGACATGATGCTCTTTGGATAACATGCAGTTATTTGCTGACAATGCTCCCGAGAAACTAATCCTGAGTCACTGGGGCCTTCTGCAACTCTCTGGAGTAAAGCTCCCACAATTGGAGTTTCAATCCCCTTTCCAACGTTAGAAGTTGAAGAATAACCTTGTTGACAAATTTTAGTTGGAGTAGATGTCTGCCCAATAACCACCGCTTCAGTTTCCAGCCCATCTTCATCAGGTGATAATGTGGAGGAAGGATCCTTATTAGAATGATCTTCACAAAGTTCATATATCAACGCCTTAATATGAGCACGTTTCGAAGAAGCCTCCATTGGTGAAAACCAATTTCTATTAAGCTGTTAAAAGATCAAAATTAATTACTATAGCTAACCCACGTGACTTCACAAAAACAGATAAAATTTAACAGAATAAGACTATACAAGAATTAAATGCAACCTTATCCATTAAACAAGAATGCATAAACAGTTCTACAAAGAAAAAAGAAAAACAACTATGCAACTGCAAGAATGTTATTTTATTTATTGGGTATATAGCACATAATTTCTATTATACAACAATCACTATCTAATAAGTTTTGAGGGCTTTGGATTCCGTATCTATTCTTCATAACACTAAAGAAACTATTTCAAAGTTTACTGCCCTACTCAAAGCAAGAGAAGCTACCAGATTAGGTATACAGAACAACAATGGAGAAGACAATTAAATAAACCAGATACCACCACACAGATGGCTTGGTTCAAATTCTAGGTAAAATGAGACCATCACTATAGTCCTGATCTTACTCAGCAAGATCCAGGAGCTGGCATTTTGGTCCTATCCTTCAGATCATCAGTCCATACCCTTTATTATTTACTAGTTAAAGGACTGGTCACATTAACCTAGTCTAGCCAACAGTGAGCTTTGATATTTTGGACTTTAAAATTTCTAATATAAAAAGGAGATCACATCTTATAAAGTATTATTTTCCGATTATAAACTATAATCAATTACTACTCGGTAATACATTCTACAATTATAATTAGCAAAACGCCAAAAACGCCATGTCTCTTTCCATTATTGATGTTGGTGGACATTTGCGCTGAACAGACATCAATGCAGGAACTGAATGTATAGAATTTACTGTCTTATGAAATGCCATTGTTATACTTATTACACAATGTGCATGATCATGTAAAATGAACTGCCATTCAGTATTTGGACATCAACCTCCTTCTGTAAATTCTGAAAATTTCTGGTACCTACAAATCAATCTAACCATGCAATGCAAAAGTAGTATACATCATAAAATGCTTACAAAATCATGTCAGCGTTACAGTATCACAAATATTCAGTATAAATAACCCTTAAACAGGTCATGAAAGAAACTCAACCATATCTTGACACAAAAGTATATTGACAAGTTATCAGCAGATATAAATCCATACAGGTATGAAAACTAACAACCTGAAAGATTACTGCAATTAGCTTCCCCTAAAGCCTAGACCGCACAAGGATGAGTTCATAAAAAACCATAAGGGCTGATTGCCAAAGCTAACAACAAATAATAAGATAAAATCACATATTTGACAGGCTTTTACAAAAATTTACTCAACTTCAAGATCATTAACATGTTAAATCAAAAACTTTGCATGCTATCTCTAGTAAATTACAAGCAAACCAATGTAAAATTTTATTAGTTGAAAGCTCGGTAATGAAGATAGGATCACTTACAAAGTTGGAAAATCCTGTTATCTTAAAAGGATTGAAATTAGAAGGAGCTTCTGCAATAAAAAGTTCCGCATAATGGAGCAAAAAGAGGCCACAGTCAAATGAATTTTCTTGCTGAGGCAGCTGAATCAAAATGAAAAGAAAATAGCTGTTAAAAACAGTGGTTTTCACTAAACCTACTAAAGAAACCAGTTATGACAGTAATTCTCTTTAACCGACTAACAAAACTTGAAAATTAAATCTACCAAAGAAACTTGAGAATTTTTTCTAACACAGTATAAACCTACCTAGGTTAGAATTTTTCTTTTTCTTATAACCAAAAAGCTTCATACACAAGACAAAATTCAGTTACAAGAGAAAGAAAAAATTCTTGGGCTTATTTATAAAAGCGTCTGTATCTTCCTTTTTTATTTTCAGTCCTGTTTTTTATTTAATTGGGATAATCTTAATGGGTTCTCTTCACTACCTCATAAGAAAAAATCAAATCTCACAATTGATATGAGAAAAACAAACATAAGCAATTTTATTCAATTTATCATTATCAGAAGATGTGAATAAAAAGAACAAAATTTTGTTTGATTTGGGGATAAAAGAAAAGCAAAAGAAACATCCTAGATGAGAACTGCTGCAATGGTAGATAACAAGAGGATGTGACAGGCAGAGTAAGTTAAAAAGAAAGAGCTAAAAGGAAAGAAAGTAAAATTTATAAATATTGTTATTATTACTGATTCACTTCATAAAGTCGTTGATAGACCACCCATTACCAAGATTTACATGAAGAAGAGGAGAATGAGCATTAATGGATATATTGGCAGTGAGAGTTAGTTAGAGGAATAATCCACGTGGCTTATATTTAGGAAATATTAGTGTGGGAACCAATTGTGTATATAATTGAGCAAAAACCATGAAAAGGGTTAAGTTGTTTAATTGGGAATATTGGTGGGAGGCTATTAGCACCTCGAACTGCTAGTCTCTATCTTTTCTTGCTTTATTTCTTTTTCTCTTGAATGTTCTTAAACCTTTTTGTTCCTATCTTCATATTTCTCAAATCAATATATTACTTATAATTTCTTCAGTTGTTGTGTTGGTGTGTTTGGGAGTGTTGTGTTTGTTTGATTCTCAGTTTTCATAGAAGTTACTATCAGTCGTCAAGCTATTGTCAGCCTTTTTTAGATAAAACAGATTCAGCTGTTGGATGCATCCAACGACTCATATCTTAAGTCCAGACATTAACTAGGTTGTGGGAGTCTGGATCAAAGAAGTAATATATATATATATATATATATATATCAAGAATAAATGTTTGGAGTTAAAAATCAAAACGTCCCCATCTGAGAATTTTCATACATATATATGTATATATATGGAGAAAAAATTTATTAAACAAAGAAAATTCATCACAGATAGAGTGAACCCAAAAAAAAAAAAAAAAGCATTATAACTTTCCATCATTGAGAATAAGGGGAAAACATATCCCATGAATTTTTTTTTGTAATTCAAACCTTAGAAAGAAGCAAGAACATGAATTCTATCCCAAAGCAAATTCACATCTTCTTCCTTTTATTCTTCAAATATCCTTTTATTCCATTGACACCAATTAACCCATGCAAAGCCAAAACGAAAAATCTCTAACAATTTTGGAATAAGGCAAGCATCGGACCATCTTTTCTGTTTAAACTGCCCGACAATGCTATTTAAGCTATAAGAGCTATGATGCCATATTTGATTTGCAAAAGAAAATAAGAAGAAAAGAAAAAGAAGGAAGAAATATAGAACAAGAACAATGGTAATTTATCTCTTCAATAAGAGGGCCTGACTTACGTATCAGCCAACATATATGCACTAATTTACTAATTACTAGCATCAGAGAAAAAAAAAAAAGAGAAAAGAATGAAGAGTTGAAGTGTCACCCATCCTGCTCTAGTGCCAATTTAGATTTGGAAATGAAAAGATAAATGTGGAAAAAAAGATTCAGAATATAGGTTACTCATTTCTCTAGAATGGGAACATAGAAAAGGGAGCAAGTACCTCAAGAGAAACAAATCGTAATTGTAAGAATTTTGAAGGAACATCATCGCTTGTATTGTTATGCTTCTCTTTCCACTCTTCACTTAAATAACTGTAATCTCAAGAGATATAACCTTAATCAACATTATAAAGTAAAGCAAGAGATACTAATTTCAATCCAATACTAAAAGCATCTAAATTTCACGATATAAAATGTATGACAATGAAAGTAATCAATGCAAAAGGTCTTGACACCCAAGCAACTCCAAATTTTAAGTTTACATAAGTTATATTTTCGATAGCCATTGTGCTACAGGAAACATTAACATTAAGGCAACAAGCACAAGATACTATGTTTTCCTTTTACTTAATATATATATATATATATATATATATAGAGAGAGAGAGAGAGAGAGAGAGAGAGAGAGAGAGAGAGAGAGAAGATACACTGTGGAAGACCAAAAGTTCCATATTCTCACTGTTAACTACCTTCAGCAAATTCCCCCCAATGCAATGTATTGGCATTTTGAACCTATAAGAGTATTTTCTGGCTGACAACTTCGGCAAAATTTTAATGTTTCATGATGTTACTCTCACCATGCAATATCTTTCACTTCTCCCCACTCCATATCTCATAGTTAAAGCACTTAAACAAACACTACAACTCAATACACAATTTAAATCTGCAATTGAATCTGTGTTCATACAAAGTTTTCAGATCTATTTGTGGCCCTCAAATTTACTTAAGTTGGTTAAGGGTGGATTCAAAACTCTATTTGGTTTAAGAATCTTGATCCCCAGAAGGTGAAGTTTGTGTTCCCAAATAATATGGGGTTCTTGGTATTAAGAGATTTTGGCTATTTCAATGAGTCTGGAGAGTTGGCCTCCAAAATATCTTGCTCTCACTTTGGAAATTATTCCAAAAACTTCCCAGTTTTTGGAACCCAACAGACGAGAAAATTAAAAGGGAAAAAAAAAAATTGAGCTACTGGAGGATGGAAGAAAGGCTATCTTACAAAACATAGAAGACTCCTTTTAAATCAGCCTGTCTTGACCACCATTCCAATTTAATTCCTTTCACTATCCAAACTCCCAAGCGGTGTTGCTAAAAGAATGGGGAGAACGATGAGCATTTCTAATGGGGAAGTAATAAGGATAGAAGTGGCTCTCATCTCATTACAAGTCTCAAGGCCAAAAATAAAGGTGGGTTCGTTATTGGAAACATGGAAGAGAAAATAAGATATCCTCTAGCATAATGACTCCGGAGATTCCCTTTAGAAACAAATTTCACTTTAACATGAGGTTATTAGTATCGTCTTCAATCGAGCCATGCAGCTTCATTTAGCCAGGATGTATAAAAATACAATAATATTGTGCTCTATCCCAAACCCAGTGTTGACTAACTTATACATTGTTATGTAACCCAAACTGCCACCCTTTCAAATTATGCTCCTTTGCCTCTCTTTTGCCTTCCTTTGGTACAGCAGATCAAAACACCTAAACGTGTCTTCCACCATACAATCCTACCAGTCACATCATCAACCCACAACCAACAGATCAATCTCTCTCTCTCTCTCTCTCTTAATTTTTTTTTATTTTTTATTTTTTATTTTTGAGCAATAATGGCAACCCAAGGAAACAAGAAAGAAAAGAAAAGGCAAACGCAAATCAACATAACTCCTAAGAGATATATAACGGGCCTGTTTGGCAGGTTATTTGAAAAAATGTTATTTCGAAAAACTATCTGAATATGATAAAATATGATTAAATAGAATATGATAGGATTNTAAGAACCTATAAGAGTATTTTCTGGCTGACAACTCCGGCAAAATTTTAATGTTTCATGATGTTACTCTCACCATGCAATATCTTTCACTTCTCCCCACTCCCTATCTCATAGGTAAAGCACTTAAACAAACACTACAACTCAATACACAATTTAAATCTGCAATTGAATCTGTGTTCATACAAAGTTTTCAGATCTATTTGTGGCCCTCAAATTTACTTAAGTTGGTTAAGGGTGGATTCAAAACTCTATTTGGTTTAAGAATCTTGATCCCCAGAAGGTGAAGTTTGTGTTCCCAAATAATATGGGGTTCTTGGTATTAAGAGATTTTGGCTATTTCAATGAGTCTGGAGAGTTGGCCTCCAAAATATCTTGCTCTCACTTTGGAAATTATTCCAAAAACTTCCCAGTTTTTGGAACCCAACAGAGGAGAAAATTAAAAGGGAAAAAAAAAAATTGAGCTACTGGAGGATGGAAGAAAGGCTATCTTACAAAACATAGAAGACTCCTTTTAAATCAGCCTGTCTTGACCACCATTCCAATTTAATTCCTTTCACTATCCAAACTCCCAAGCGGTGTTGCTAAAAGAATGGGGAGAACGATGAGCATTTCTAATGGGGAAGTAATAAGGATAGAAGTGGCTCTCATCTCATTACAAGTCTCAAGGCCAAAAATAAAGGTGGGTTCGTTATTGGAAACATGGAAGAGAAAATAAGATATCCTCTAGCATAATGACTCCGGAGATTCCCTTTAGAAACAAATTTCACTTTAACATGAGGTTATTAGTATCGTCTTCAATCGAGCCATGCAGCTTCATTTAGCCAGGATGTATAAAAATACAATAATATTGTGCTCTATCCCAAACCCAGTGTTGACTAACTTATACATTGTTATGTAACCCAAACTGCCACCCTTTCAAATTATGCTCCTTTGCCTCTCTTTTGCCTTCCTTTGGTACAGCAGATCAAAACACCTAAACGTGTCTTCCACCATACAATCCTACCAGTCACATCATCAACCCACAACCAACAGATCAATCTCTCTCTCTCTCTCTCTCTTAATTTTTTTTTATTTTTTATTTTTTATTTTTGAGCAATAATGGCAACCCAAGGAAACAAGAAAGAAAAGAAAAGGCAAACGCAAATCAACATAACTCCTAAGAGATATATAACGGGCCTGTTTGGCAGGTTATTTGAAAAAATGTTATTTCGAAAAACTATCTGAATATGATAAAATATGATTAAATAGAATATGATAGGATTTTAACAATATGTTTGGTATAATATTTGAAAATTATATCAGAGTTGAATAAAATGCTGAATAATTGTTTGGTACATATTTGGAAAACATTTTCTAAAAATATTTTTTTAACCCTCGACATTTGTTAATTTAGGTAAACACCTCCCACAATAAAACTTCAAAAATTAAAAACCCCCCCAACCCCCAAAAAAATGAAGTCGTCGTCAACGACTAGATAGACCTAGTCAGAAACGGCAAAATCGGCCCACAACCAGCCGGTCGTGCGTCGTTCCAATGCTAGCGGCCGGCGGTGGCAGCGGCTGTGGTTGCTAGAGGCTAGCAGTGAATTGGGTCGGTGGGAGTGTTTTTATTAATTTATAAACTTTTTATTGTGAAATGTAATTGTTTTTAGTTGAATAGAGTTGGAAAAATGTTAGAATAGGATAATAAAAAACAAGTCCCACCTACTTTTCATTTTCGATAGAAAATTTTTATTTGATTCGAAATAATGATCTCAATAAGTAAACAAACACATATTATTTTTTTTAATCTAAATAAGATCACAGATAAATGATTTGAAAGAGTGAAACAAACAGGGGGAACAATTCTGGTTTGGTAACAAACAAACCATTCATGAACATGGAAAATACAAAAGGTACCTCTGAACAAGATCCTTAAGGCCTCTATGACTTCCTTTAATAGAATCCATGTGCAAGATGCATGGTACCTTAGTTGACTTTTCAATTTCATCATCTACAAGATGGTTCCAAAATTGGACAGTCAGTATAATCCAACAAATACAATAAACAAAAATTAACCAATAAGCATCTTGCCTTTAAAATAAGCCACTTCACCAGGATGACAGATGACAATCAAACTCCAATGAAGACTGTCATCAGAATGCAATTATATTGATATTAAACACAGTGCAATTTAAGATTATTCTCCTGCGATCCAGTAAGAAAAAGAAAAAACATAATTATTTTCTTACCTGTAATTAACAGGAATAAACACGTAATCTTTCTCATAAAGATTCACATTTTTTGTCCACTTACGAACACGTTGAAATGCTGCCTTGCCTTCACAAGCACTAGATGGATCTTTATCTAGACCAGCAAGCTTCCGAAAGAAAAAACTATTAAAAAAGTGAAAACGATGCCGTTCTTCAGGTTGTAATTTCTTCTTCAAGTATCTAGCAAGAGGTCAGGTTTTGAAAAAATTAACCCTTCAAGAGATTCAAGCGCTAGAGCCACATTGATGAGAAAGACGAGAAGAAATTATACCAAAAAGAACAACTTGACTACAGACTAACACATAATTTAATCTTGCTTTCAAAAAGAGAGTCAATTAGACATCCATTCCTTCCTCAACTAGTGGTTGTTGGAAAAACATCAGATTTTCAAATCAACATCTTGGAGAGTTTTCTTATCTCCGGAAGAAAGCACAAGATTTATAGCAAAAAGGAAATAAACTCACAAACAATCCTCAAAGAACACATATTGGAAATCTATCAGAAGTACAATAGCATTGCAAAGGAGCCAAACTTAGTTCAGGAACAAATAAATTTGTGGTGATTAGTGTATTCATGTAGTCAGGCAGTCAGCAAAGAGCTAGTATTCATATCTTCACCTTTTAAGAATTGAATTTTCTCAATCCCACTCATTTACCTAATGCCAATGTCATATTTAGGAGCTAGCTTTTTGATAGGAAATGATAAAAAACTATATAAAAAAAGGAGATTGAGCTAGGTACATCAGTGGACTAAAGATCCACCAAAATATCTAAAACCAATGAGGGAGACAAATTAATACAAGATAGCGACTAATGTTCCCTTCCCTATGTGAAAACTTCGGAGCTAGCTTGATGTCCTATTAGAAGAAAATTTCAAATCATGACCAATCGTATAAGCCCAGAGCACAATCACCAAATAAGAAGCATTAGTTATTTTAGATGGAAAAGTGTAGATTTCTGCCCTGACATGTGCTATAAAAATCATCATGAACTACACTAAGTTTGCTGCAACAGTAAGACAACATGATTAAAGATACAAAGGATTTCAAAAAAATTTAGCACATTTAAGAAGCCAAGCGCCCAAACTAACAAATGAAAATGATGATCTTGTTTAAATGAGAAGTTTTTGATAGAAAACAGAAGGTTTGTATCATTGTAGAGAAAGATATACTAAAACGGATCAAGTGTCCACAAAAGCAAAAGCAAAAACAAAAAACCCTTCCCAAGTTTAGTAGAATAAAGACAGAAAAGTTTTGAAACCCTCCAAAATCAAGGCCCAAAAAGATGTTACCTGAAGCTTGTAAGAAAATTCACAGATCCATGATAGACCACCCATTACTAGGAGAGTATCCCTCATTGCTAAATACACCTCTTCTATAAAAAAAGAAAAAAATTGTTTAAACCCATTTAATACCAAAAAAACCCTCTAAATTTAATTAGGTTTATTTTCCCCAATTTCAAACTTAATTAGATTTTTTATTTTACACCATTTTCCCTAATTTTTTAATTTAAAAAATGGAACTTACTTTTTCTTTTTCAGATTCAGATACATCTAGTTGTGTGATTACTTTTCATAATTTAGTATTATATTTTCATCAAACAAAACAAATATTTTATAATAAAATAAAAGTTTCATGATTATGAAAATTTAGGGTTGGGTATATGTAAGATTAATGATTAAAAATATAACTATAAATATAAAATAGAGTATAAATGTATTTAAAAATTATAATATAATTTCTAGTAATTTTAATTAAGTTTAAACTTATCAAAACAAAAAATATTTTTAAAAGTAAAGGATACTGATAAAATGAGTGGGACGCTAAAAATCATCCTTTCACTAGTTTTGAATCGCTTTACATGCTTTGGACTACATTTTAAAATTCCCCTTAGTACAATTGATCTTGTTCTGCATGTCAAATGATGTATTATCATTTTACATCAGTTAAAATGTAAAACTTTCTAGACAAATAGTTCATTAATTCATGATTTAGATAAAACGAAAAAAATAAAATAATAGAAATACCATTTTAAACTGATGGGTTCTAGGTCATAGTTTTTATTTTATTTTTTTTTATATGACCGAAGTGCAGTGTCATACCAGTTTCATTCTCAATTAATTTCAAAACCTTTAAATTACTAGTTAGGTAAGGTTTTAATAACCACCTCTATTAGGGGCTAAGGTAAATCAAACTTAAGATTTATTGAAAATATACACCAGAGTCCTAGTTGACCACTCGACCATTCAATAATAGATTAGGTCATATTTCATCTTCAATTCATTGAAAAATATATTTCCAATATTATTCTATTATAGCATAATTGAAAGAAGAAAAAAAAAAAAAAAAAGCATGAAGTTTGTGCACCTAAATAATTTATATTTGACCCATTTTGTTATCAAATCCTAGTATTTAAATGAAAGAAATTGCATGACAAATGAGTGGTTAAAATGTGACCCCATTTTCCTACAAAACAACATAAACAAAAAAGAAACACTGTTTCTCTTTTCGCTGAATCTCACTATATAAAATATTAAATAGGTGATACAGCGTATAGAAATAAGTAATAGATGAGTCGTATGAATTTTATTAATATACCATTTGTTTTGTTTGTACTAAACTAATCATTAAACAAAATATAAGCACATCTTAATTCTACAGTACAAACAATATTAAAATAAGAAAGGGAAAATTAACTAAAACAAATCTTCCTAATTAATAACTATTCGTAAAACAACTAACTTCCAAATATAAAAATCCTAATTAAACTTAGAAAATCAACAAATTCTAAATCAGGAAAATCTGTCATGAGATTTCTTTGGTATTATGCAACAAGTCACAATAAAAGAGCCCATTTTTTTCTTCTCTTTTTTGTTGGGATGGGGAAAGCATTATTATCTGTCTTAACACAATTACAAATGTATTTCCTGTACAATGCCAAACTAAAAACTATTTACCACCTCCTAGAAAGCACTGCTTTTGGTAGGCCGTTTTTCATATGTTCTTCTCTTCATCAGAAGCCTCAAGCCTCAGCTTCTTTGCAATGCTGTCATCTCTTTCAGACACAGGATCTTCATCATTAACAGCGTTTTATCTTCTTTAATGTGAACGATTTCAATCAAGTCTGCTTCGAAGGTGAGAGTGCAAATGCCACATTGAAGGAGGATCCGGTATCTTTGTTCTTGCAGGCATTTTGCGAGCAATTTACTCCCCAATAATCTTCAACAACTAGAGCAGCAAGTCCAATTCCTCCTGAGAATCTCAACAAGAAGTTCCTCCTGAGAATCTCGATGACAAGATTGACAAGTCCATTATTTTCTTCTTCAGAATTCCACAATAGAAGTGCAAATTTCCACTGCAGGTGGAGAACCTCAGGTTTACAGTAGTCATTCTTGGTGGTTAGGCACTGTATCCTCAACTAGTTGATTTTCATCTATGTTTTCCTTTGATATATCGGTATTCAATGATAGACTCTCTCTGTGTCTCAAAGTGCAATAAAACTGCCAGTCACAAGATGTCTTCTGTGCACTCTCTCTACAGATGTAAGAGGTTGAAGATTCTGCTGCCAATCCAGTAACTTTCTGACAATGTTCAACATCAATGATGATTTAGCCCGTTCATCACTGGTTTCTTCACCTTCCTGATTTTGAGCAAAATATAAAGCAACTTCTTCATTGGTCAAATAATTCAGAAAGCTAGGAAATCACCCAATTAAGCAACTTTTCAATTGCTGTTCTTCAATCCTAGTACAGCACAGTTTATTAAATTATTTATCCTTTTGCTCTTGGATTTGTGATGGCAAAACAGTTTCTGAAAGTGGTATTGAATTGGCATAAATCACTCCCAGATTCATTTCAAAATGGCTAAAAATATCAACTGAGAAACCAAGGGTAACAATTGAGAAGAAATACATTAACTTAGTAATACAAATAGAAATCAATAGACGTTAAGATTGCTATAGGTGCAAGGATACATAGAAATTTCTGTTGTTTCAATTAAAAAAAAAAAAAAAAAAAAAAATACTCAACCTAAACATATTCAATATTTAGTAAAAACTTTCCAAACAAAATTGAATTTAATAGTTAAATTTATATAATCAATCCTAACAATTCTCTATACAAAAGAATTTAATATTTAAATAATCTTTAGCTATTCCAATATGCAAATTTATAAAAATTTTAGTTCAGATTTGCTAGAGACTTGAGAGAATAAATTACATTTATGTAAACCAAAACTACCAACATCCTCTTTTAGCTCGATGTCTTTTGTTTTGGTCTACTAGTATCCTCATTTCAGTAAGTTCATAAAAACTCGTTTTTTTATATTAAGTTTTTGTTTTCATTGAGGCATAATATGCATGAAAAACTTATGATATATGAGTCCAGCTAATCAAGAGTCTGAAACAAGCACTTGATTTTCTGATAATTTTAATAGATTTCACCTTATTTTTATACCTTGTTCTACATGAGAGAAAGAGATGATTACCTCTATTGGCGACATGATGCTCTTTGGATAACATGCAGTTATTGCTGACAATGCTCCCGAGAAACTAATCCTGAGTCACTGGGGTCTGAACTCTCTGGAGTAAAGCTCCCCCAATTGGAGTTTCAATCCCCTTTCCAACGTTAGAAGTTGAAGAATACCTTGTTGACAAATTTTAGTTGGAGTAGATGTGCCCAATAACCACCGCTTCAGTTTCCAGCCCATCTCATCAGGTGATAATGTGGAGGAAGGATCCTTATAGAATGATCTTCACAAAGTTATCTATCAATGCCTTAATATGAGCACGTTTCGAAGAAGCCTCCATGGTGGAAAACCAATTTCTATTAAGCTGTTAAAAGATCAAAATTAATTACTATAGCAACCCACGTGACTTCACAAAAACAGATAAAATTTAACAGAATAAGACTATACAAGAATTAAATGCAACCTTACCATTAAACAAGAATGCATAAACAGTTCTACAAAGAAAAAAGAAAAACAACTATGCAACTGCAAGAATGTTATTTATTTATGGGTATATAGCACATAATTTTATTATCAACAATCACTATCTAATAAGTTTTGAGGGCTTTGGATTCCGTATCTATTCTTCATAACACTAAAGAAACTATTTCGAAGGTACTGCCCTACTCAAAGCAAGAGAAGCTACCAGATTAGGTATACAGAAAAACAATGGGAA